TCATCATTATATTAACAATCTTTAAGATACATAGAAATTAAGTTAATTGTAGCCTATTGCAACTTTTCAATTAGTACATAATAGCATCAAGTAGGTGTTTGCATATTAAAGATGTTGAATGACTAATGCCTATTCAAAATAATGATACTATGGCTGGTGTAAAAATTTTTTTGTCAGTGAGATTGTTTGAGTTTTTTAAAGTATTGTGTACTTTTTGAAAAGTGCTTTTGTTTAAGAAGTTAGTGTTAGAGGTTGTAGCTGAGGTAGTATTTTTTTCCACTTGATTCCTGAAGTTGTTGAAGTGGTGGCAGTTGCTGAGTGCTGTTTCCAGATTTTGTTCAAAATTTTGAGAGAGTGATTTGAGATGTCTTCTTTTTTCCGAATGATATTAAAGGGGTTGTTAAACTTGCCAAGAGCTAGATTAAGTAAAATTTTGCCTGTTATGTTGGTCAAATCAAATTATTGTATCTCAGCTTTAAAAACTTTAGTAATAAAGAAGAATTTAGATAGCTCCTTACAGTAGATTTGATTTTGCCAATATTTATTTTTTGGGGAAATTTTTCCTGTAGGTAAATATCATTTCTTTATTTAATATTATATATAATATAGTATATATTGTGAAAGAAACAATATTCTTTTCCTTCTAGCATGTGAATCTACCCACGAGGTGCAGTCAATATGTTGGGATAAAAAAGCAATAGGCTAGCATTAACTATAATAGATACTTAATTTAATGACAATACTATCATTTAGTAAATAAAGTTTTACATTTTATACTTATTTGCAAAAAAAAAAACAATATTCTTTTCATTATTTTAGAAAAGTTTAATACTAGCTTGCCTACTGATCATTATCTAATTAATATTGTAAAACATTTTAAAAGCAATATTATAGTGTTAGATAAAGCTAAGTAGTAGCTATTCTTACCAACTCAAGAAATTTTGAGAAATCTTTTGATTTTTTGAATATATGATAATTGAAAAGAAAATAAACGTAACTGTAATTAAGACTACATTAAATAAACTATAAAATTTATAAATAGAAAACCAATTATTCTTCAAAATAGCCTCTGGACAGACTCATTATTTCATCTTTCCAGCTTTTTGATTATTATAAATAATAGAGTTTGTTGTTATAATTGTATATAAATATGTGATTAATGCTGTTATTGTAATTGTTGTTACAATTATTATTGTGATACAAAACTGATTTGAACAGGTTCAGTTTTTGTTTTGATTGGATAATTGAGAAGTGTTAATCATTTGTAGGGTAAGTTGATTTTGATTTTTTGGCCTAAAAAAATATTGAAAAATTTGAGATGGTACAATAAATATTGATATGGAGAAGTAAAATTTATAAGTTGACTTGAAACAAACAGTAGACTCACTAACTTTGTTTGAGTGTGTGTTTTGAAAAGTAGTTGTTTTAGTGAGTATAATAATAATAATGTAAATAGTTTTTAAAATAAAATAAGAGTAAGAAGGGATGCAAGAGAACAAAAGAATAGAGAATTGTTATGGGCTTTTCCTTATGCAACCAAAGAATAAACAAAACTCCCAAACTTGAATAGACTTTGATCAGAGATCTTATTTTATTGCACCAGTTGTTTTGAAGATTCTTGAGTTCTTGAACTAAAGCTCACTTGCAATAAAAAGTGTAAAATGTTTTTTTTGCTTAAATTACCATAAAAAAATTTTTTAACAAAATGAAGGAGATCAAGAGAGAGTTTTTTTTTATTTTGCTAATGTTTTTAAAGTTGAATAATAATGAAAATGTATAGTAAATTAAATATTGTTTAATAATAGATAATATTTGTTTGTTGAAAAATATTAAAAAAAAAATTTAAATTAAAGAGTTTATTGATTTATTGGTTATTGTATAATTTTTATAAAGTTACCCATTTGGATAAAAGTTAAAATAATAGATAAAGAAATTGTATATGCATGCATTGTAATTGTTTGATAAATATTTCTTTTTTGAATATAGAAGAAACAATAAATAAAAGATTATTTTTAGAAATAAGTTAATTGGAGTTTTTTATATTCTCTTACAATAGAGAAAAAATTTTTTGAAGATAGTTGTAGCATTTAATTGTGTTTAGCATTTACATATCAAATTATGTTTCTTTTAGTCTCAATAAATTTGCCAATTTCAGCTATAATATTAATAATGTAACTGTTATATGTAGAGCCTGTTTTTATGATTTCTTAAATGTTTTTCACTTCTTTTATAATGAGAAATTGGTTTAGAAAATTTGTTATATTAGATATATAAAAGTTTTTTGCAAATTCAGTTTTGATAATTTTGTTATTAATAAGATTAATATAAAAAATTTAAGAGTTAGTTTCAATTCAAATATATAGTAGCATAGAGAATAGAGAAACTGTTTTTTGTTGGAGTTTGTTATGAAGTGCTCTATTATAGAAGTTAATTAGTAATTAAAAGCACTTGAAAATAATTAAAGATTGAAAAGTTTCTTGGAAAAGTTATTACCAAATAAGAAAATTTTCAAGTAAAAATTGATTAACAGAAAGTAAAATTTTTTTGATTTTTTTAATATTAATTATTTTTTTTTATTTTAATTATTTTCTTTATTTCTTGTATCGACAAAAACATACATATAAAGCAAATATAAATTCCATAATAAAAATAATAACTTTTAGTATAAAACCATGTTATTTAAAGAATGATTATTCAAATTTTAGAACATATCAAATATCAGTATAATTATTTTTTTTTTGCTTATACCTTCCATTAAATTTATGTTTAAGTTTATTTATATGTCGAAAAAACAATAACATCGCTTATGTAAAAGCTCCATAGATTTATAAATAAAATCTAAACATCATTAGAGTATTGATAGTTCATTTCTATTTTTTGGTGTGTAAATATCCTTTTATAAAAATCTATTCCATTAAAATATTATACGATGGGTTAATATCAAATATATTTAAGGATTAATTATTTGGACTATTCCAAATAAATAAACAGTAAATGCATATTCAATGTTGTTATTTTAAATGCCGTATAACAAATTAATATCATTTGAATTGTAACCGAAGAACAAGTTATTTTAAATTTTTAATTCAAATTGACTACACCAACAACAATCATTGCAATATCAAAATCCTCGATATATTAATTTTTTAGACAGATTGATAAAGTTTTTAAAATCATTTATTTATTATAAAAAATAATGGCATAAAAAGAATACAGTAATCATTTATAAAAATATATTTGTTAAATTCAAGTACATACTGTAGTAAATGTTCTAAGATTGAATCAAATAAAAATCATTTTGAAATATAAAATTTTAATGACACGCTTTTTTATAACTCAGAAAATATACTTGATGTAATAAAGCTTTTGGTTAACTATCACAAGGTCTCGAGTCTCTTCTTGATTGATAATGTATCAAGACATCAAGACATAACCGTTAATCATTTTTTTATGCAAAAAATTTTTATGGATATTAAATTACCGATAGAACATGTACACATATACAGTATATCCTGAGTTGATTTTCCATAATGTGGATTCGCCTTTCCTTTTTTAATGACAACAAACAATAATCTTAAAATATTTAATTTACACGTTCCTTAGGATAATCGTTCTGTGCCAAAGTATTAACTTTGAACTGGTGAGATTATATTTTGTTGCGCAAGATATTTTTGTATATTTCATCTCGTGGTTCCCCCCCAAAAAATCAAGTCACTTATCATAAATAAATTTTTAAAAAGAAAAAAAAAAAACACCTAATCAATTTCTTAAATTTCTCTACCCGAGAAATCAATAAAATGCTGATCCTAAATTTTCGAAAGGATCAAATCCTTCCCTTCTAATAACCTTAATAAACCTTCCAGCCTTCTTTAATTTTTCTTCGTTAATCTTTGAAAAGCTCACTTCTCTTCCGAACAACATATCAAGTCTCCCAAACTTATTCAGATATTTTAGCGGCCACCTGTCATATTCTACAACTTCCAAGCTTCCATAGTATTCCGCATATTTCATCAGTATGTGCAAGTGTTCATCTGTAATGCCTCTACAATCATTTAATCCAATCCTCTTGAAACTCACATGATTGCATCGGTTCAAGAAATTCGCTAATTGACCGGGCGTGATGTAAAATTCAAGATCTAAATGTGACAAAGTTTCAGGAAAATATATGCTTAATTCCTTAACGAAGGTACCAAAATAGTATTCTTTTGATTTCAAGACCAATGACTCTAACTTTGACGCTTTCATCCAATTATAAAATTTGTCAAACTCGATATCCGAATGTTTAACGTGCAGCGCTAGATATCTGAGATCTAAAGTATTTTCCACTATCGAAGAAAGAATATACCGGATACGATTGGAATACAAAATCTCCAGGGTTAATTCTTTAAGGGAGTTTCTAGTCATCTGAAATAGTAATTTGAAATCCAATTTGGCGTCAAGGAAATCATCAAATATAAAAATTTTCTTGACGGATAAAGATTGTGTGATTGGAGTTCCCTCACAGGCGGAGGGTTCAGAATCAAACTCCATGATGTTGTGAAATACCAAAGTCTCAAGATTCTGGCAATTCGCAAGGATAGCAAGAGATTTTATTTTCAGGTACAGTGTTTGAAATCCTAACCATGTCAGAGTCGAGGAGAGCGTTGACAAAGTCTTAAGAACGGGATTTACTAGGCGGGAGTGTCGTAAGGTCAATTTCTCAAGATTATTTTGGGCTTTGATTAAATTTAAATATTCCGGAACATGAGCATTGGAGCATCTTATATCCAAAATTTGAAGTTTCGTAAAAGAGGCTTTCAATGATTCTAATAATCCTAGTGTTGAATCTTTGATGTAATCAGAAGCGCCCAAGCAAGTTGTGCTTAGCTCTAAAGATGTAACGTTATTCGAGATTAGACCAAATTTCGAGAATGACAAGATTTCCGGTAAAAATAAAGTTCTGGAAGTTAAAGAAAGTTTGATTGACTTTAAACAAGCGGAATCAAATAAAAGCCTCGAGAGCTCAGTCAATAGAATTTCAATCTTCGCTTTTACTGAACTTTCTGATAAGCTTGAACGATTGTCAAAATACAATGCCTTTTTCCGATTTTCTCCGAGATTTTGACTTTTGACAAACCAATCTACAATCATCTTTTCGAATAGAATCAAAGAAAACTCTTTAAGATAATATTGATATTGAAACAGAGGCGGTGGACTATTTGGAAGTACAATGCCAGCTTGTTTTAATGTCAACTTCGCAGAGACATTGAGACATGATATGTATACTAGAATTAAATTTGAGGTCTCCATCGGTATGAAATTGTGGTACCGTGTAATGAATGGAGCTCTCCACAAAATTGGAACCATGAGACGACAAAATCGTCTACTAGTTAACAAGGTGTTAAATCTGGAATGAGAGGGCAACTGCTCGAACACATTATGAATAATATCATCGGGTAGAAATGGGACTTTGACAGGTCTCTCCTTTTTTGATTTTTGTTGTAATCTGATGGACTTTCTCAATCGTACGTGTTCGGCTGTTCTTGCCAACTGGAAAGTCGTCTTTTGATGTTGCAACTCATTGTCTGGTTTTTGTCGTTCGGTGATGATCCTTTCTGTGCTTCGTTTTTTCGATTTTCTTGCTTTTTTAGTATAAGAAACTCCACTCATATTTCTGTGAATGATGGTTATTGCTCTGCGTTACAAAATATAAATACTGCATGTATTTCTGCGTGTAACTTGGCTTTATATGAAAAAACGGATATACCTTATTTATCGAAGGTATGTCCAAAAAAAAAAACAAAGAAGAGTAAAATCGCACGTAATTACATACGTAATATTCTATTACTGTATATAATGTGTCATTTGAGCTTCACGTGAGCTTTTCTGAATACATACGTTGCTCAACTTGATTTTAGCGCTTAATGAAAGAAAAACATCAATATGCAATCAAATATAGTATACTGGTCATTGGCTTAATTAGAAAATAGTGTTCTAATTGATTATTTATTTTGCTACAATATCGGAAGCTATTCTGTAAATAGATTATATAATTCATTGATATAAACAGAAAAATAATCTCCTCGGTGTATAATTTGCCGAGATAATATAAGTGAGAAAAGAAAATACCATTCAAATCGTAGTTAAATACTAATTAAATGAATATAGTGATTTGATTCCATTTACCGTATTGGTCTTGATGTTAATTGATTGATTCAAAACGCTGAAAGACAGAAAATGATCTTAGCGGCCGGTTAGATTAGTCTGGGTTTTATTGATACTGTAACAGTTTGAGCATAACCACGACCATTGTATCTTTCAATATCGAACCATATTTACTCTTTATCCTATATCATATATTTTGACTTATATAACTAGATCTGCATACCTGCATTTTCGAAGTTACAGATGCATAGAGAATTCCCGATAATTATATATATCAAAGACAAAAAAAATGTTCCCAGTCAAAGATATGCAACTTTTTTATTGCAAACAATATTTTCTAATAACACGTCCTAACATTACATAAAGAATTGATTTCTAGTTCCCATTTATTTATTTTATTCTTCACGATAACGAAATCTTTTATTATATATTTTAAAATATTAAAAAAATATAAAAATTAATAAACTACATATTTTTATATTTTTATAAATACAATTATTTGATTATATTTAATTTGTCATATTTATTAAATTAAAATATTAAAATAAAATCAAATATTTAAAAATATGATTTAGAATATTTTTTTAAATTTAATTCAAATTAAATCATACAAAATAAAATAACCATTTTTTAACAATCACATAATTAATATAAAATTTTTAAATTTCAAAATATTGTTTTAATATAACTTTTATATTCATTAATATTTAAATTTATTATAAACTAATATTATTTTTAATATTTTTATAAAAATATAAATTAAATTCAAAAAAAAATTATAGAAAAATATGTTTTTGATTTAATCATATATAGATATTTTTTTAATTTTTATTATTAAATAAAAATATTTGTTGTACTTCAATTAACCTATTTTTCTTTTTAATAAATATAAAATAATTTGCAAACTAATAATATTACTTTTTTAAAAAATTCAAAATTACTTTCATTAGTTATTGATATATAACATATTATTAAAATATTTAATATAATATTTTATAAAAAAATTTTTATGTTTTTAATTATTACTTTATTATTTTTACAAGTTTTCATTAAATAATACAAATCAAATTCTTAAAACTATTTGATAAGCAGAATAATTTTTAATTTAATATTAAGCAACTTTAATCTATTATTTAATATTTTACAAAAAAAAAAACAATGTCAAAAAATTACTTAAATATTATAACATAGGTATTAAATAAAAAAATTAAAATTAAAATTTATATAACTTTTATTACTCAAAAGTAACCATTTTAAAAATATTTAAATAACAATAACAATTTTATTAATAAATAATTTTTAAATTATCAATTATATTGTTAATTTAAATAAATATTGATTATTTAATATCTCTAATATATAAATATTTGCTAAATAACAATTTAATTTAATTATAAAAGTTATAATAATTTATAATTAATTTATCTTTATATAAATCAATAATAATAAATAATATATTAAATAAAAGTTTTTTGTGAATTCATAATACAGTAGTTTATATTTTACAAATTAGATTACAAGATATTAATTTAACTTTATATAAGAATAGTTAAATAAAATTAATATAATTTATGATACTATAATATATTAAAATACTGTTTTTCATAAAAAATCATTCACATATTGATCCAATGGATATTGAAATTGTAATCTTCAAAAAAAATATTATTATATAACAATTATCTGGTTAGTGTTATAATAATTACTGAAAATTATAATGGATATAAAATATTTATTTTGGATTAATAAATTTAATGATTATTTTTTAATATTTGATATCTTTTCCACAAAACCATGCCCCAATTCAGTAATAGTTCGATTTGGTAATATTTATTCTAAGAAGATATCTGACTATAAAATCTGCTTAGTAATAAAAATATAAGATTAAATAGACAATAAAAATCTATTATAAATCTATTTTAAATATTCTTAAGTAACATTTAAGTAGATAAAAAATTAAATAGTTAGTTCAGCTACAGATAATAATAAAGAAAAGTAATATTTAATAAAAGCAAGCTAAATTTTAATAGGTGTTTTATTTGATATAATAGAATATTACTTCAATATACCACTTCTTTTCATCTTAATTTTTCCTTAAATTATAAAATAAAACAGTAAATATATTAATAATATAGCAATGGTGAAATTTTGACTATTGGTTTTAATCTTTATTCAATAAAAAAAGTTAGTAGCAATATAGTTTAATATATATAGAAATCAATTAATATTATAATATAATTTATATATAGTAATATATACAAATATATATAAATATAAATTTAAATAATTATCTATTAAACAAGATCTAGCTAGTATTAAAAAATATATATTCCTTAAATTGTAATGCAATCAAATTTGCCTACATAATTAAAATTTTAAATATTAATTTTTATAACTTACTTTTATTATAAAAAATATAATTTAAGATATTCTTTATTAATTTTATTAAGTAAAAAAATTAAAAATTTATTGGAAATTTTTAAAATAAATAACTTTAAACTTTGTGTTTAAAATTTTAATATAAAAAATTATATAAAAATTGGTATATATTTAAAGTAAAAAAATTACTTTACTTCCAATAAAGATTAAATTTTTTATAATTAAATAATTAAAATTGTAATAATTAAAGTTATTCTTTACAAATAATTCTACAAAACTGATTATGATTATATAAACTTTAATTTAAAAAATTTTTAAGTTTATTTAAGATCAATTATTATTAAAAAAATTTTGCTTATAATTAAAATTTAAATTTTTATTAAATAAATAAAAAATAAATACTATCAATAAATAATATATAATTAAAACTAATATTATATAAATTT